TATACACTACATGACATCTGACGTACTAAAAATTCACAGTTCAGCACCAGTAATATGTTAGATTGATGAACGTATTCAGTATTACAACAGATGGATATGTGATTTTAATTCTGATCAGTTCTGTCTTTGCTGTGAATGCCAGTCAAACAGCCCTGGGCTCCTTGTTAACAGTCAGTTGTAAGATGGATGGTGTGAATTGGCTGTGGCTTATGGGAAGAGGCTGTTGTGCTGGAGGGAAAACTCTTATCTGAAGGATTCATGTTGGCGTTTGAAGTGAGTCACCTGACAGCTACGTCAATCAGTCCGCTCTTCATCTGGCTGCAGATCAAAGTCTTAATCCCAATCCCACAAATGTATTATTTGATGTTCTCGCCAGCCATTTCTTTGGATTACTATCTGTTCTACTGCACAGGTTGGTTTTTTTTTAATCATCATTTGGCCGGTGTGTTGACAGAGACATGAACACTGGTTCCCCTCTGGTAATATGGCATTAGGGATACAGAGTCTAAAACCAGTGACCAAAATTGAAGGGCACAAAAACTTAAATAACACAGAGGGTCACTATACATTTTCTAATAAGGACCAGTTGTTCAGGTTACTTTATTGTTTCTGTGATCGTGGAAAATTGTATGTCACAATTGTATGATTAAATGGCTGAAATGTTATGATTTCAAGACGGTGACAACATAATTGTAGGTTGTACGACAGCCGCATTGACGACTGACCATGCTGAAGAAACCCTGGACAGCATATGTCAGCGAGTCAAATATAAGAAACTTCAGGCTGGCACTACAATTTTGGTTTACCTAAAATATCTAAAATCAGCAATAAAGGACTTAATTGTTCATGTGTTTGTGCAGACTTACAAGTTGACTATGGCTACAGGAAGCTGCAGCCGTGTCTAAATAAATATCTTTACAATAGTTGCTTGACACATTTACAGTGTGTAGTGTAAAAAATAACTAAGTGTGGTGGGAAACTATTTTGCAATTGAAAAGTAACATTGATATCCCTGTCTAAGACTTTTAAGACCTGAACTGTTTGTGACCTAAACCTTTATGACCTCGAGGCTCTTTCTTTAAAGGAATTTTATTCAAATAAGTTTCCTGTGTCATAATTCCTGTCTCAAACTGTGCCTACAGAACTAGTCTGAAGAGGCTCAGACAAACAGCCTTAGTTCTCCTATATAAAATGCTTGCATTTGACTGTTCTTCATCAGCCCTCTGAGATCCCTGTGACTCTCTGTGTTGATCCTTTCTGCACAAAGCTCCTAATAAATACACAAACACAAATTTGGTAATGCAGCCTCTTGTATTTTCAGATTTCCATCACAAGTTTTAAGGTCTTTTCAGATTTAAAGTGGTTTGCGCTATACTGGCCGCTGGAATCAGAGCTAAATAAGCAGAGTTTTCTGTTTTATACATTGTCCCCAACTACAACAAATCCATCTGTTAAAACACACCTGACAATGTGTCATGTAAACTCATGTCATAGAATTCAGGATTTTTGTTTTCAGACAAATGTCACTGCAGCTTACGTATGCATCTGCCTTAGTTGTTTTAGACAGGACCGAGTCTCACTCAAAAAATATCCGCTTTTCCTCCATTGTGCATTCTGCCTGGCTCGATGCTTCATTTCTATTGGACATGCAACTGTTTGTCGCAGCGGGAACTTGAGTGTGGAGTGGTGTGAAAAAACATTTCATGGTGCATTGAAAAGAATTCGTTTTAGAGCACAGCAGTGCCGTTCTTGCGTACCGTCTAGGGAGCCCTTTCAATCTCACTTTACAAAATTTGCAAATGCTCAAACGAGAGTGTAACCATTAGACAACCCTGCAAAGACACTGGACCATCAACATGCTTGATTTGACAAATATAGGAGGTTTTGTCCACAGCCAGGAAACTGGCACTACAAGTTAATAACAGCGTCATTTTCAGGAAGTTCAGTCAGCAAATCCCAAAAGCTCTTTCAATGTGATGCAGTCCTTCACTCCGTGTCTGATCCTGTTATCTGGATCAGTATAACTGGATCATGCTCAGTACGATAGAAATCCTATAGCTAACTGTTATGTGAATTTCCACTGAATACATCAAACTCATTTTCACTGAAATAGCTTCATAAATGCAATTATCCATAGTCTCATAGCAGCCTACCTCTCAGGAACAAGAGTCATTTGTAGCCGTTTGATGCTTGAACGGAAGAATGAACGGAAGCTTTGATGGAAATCACAATTAAAGAGTCATCAGGAGATGACATGCGCCCCCGGCACTCACTAAAGCTGAAAGAGCAGATGATTTGGTGCTGTCACAGTAACCTGAAGTCAAAATATTTCCCGCAGTGAAAAGATACACATTAAAAG